TTCATTCAAATGCATGATTCGACCTCTTCTGACCACTTCCCCACCCCCCTACTTCACTGTCCTGGCACCCAAGCCTGAGTTCCCAACCCCTGAGTCTTTGCTCTTGTTTTTTCCTCAGCCATCTCTTTCTTGTCCTTTATATCCCATCTCAGATCACACCTGCTTCCAGACCCTTCTCTGCCCCGCTGAGACTGCCCAGGGGCATCCTCTGCGCTCCCACACTCTCTGGGCTGCTGCCCTTTCCAGTATGGCTGGCTGACAGTGAGCTCCCTGCTGGACTGCCTCCCTACCAGACTGACTCCCTGCCAGAGCTCCCTGCCTGCCAGACCCTGAGCTCCCTGAGGGCAGGACTTGGAGCCTTGCAGGGAAAGGAGGGACCGTCTCTTCCACCAGGGAGATGTGTTTGGTAAAGGCCAATTTATCTTGGGGGGTCTCGGAGGTCATCTACTGTGCTTATACCTGACTTCTCACAGTGCATTCCATGCCACCCAGAGGGGCAGACACAGCCACTGAACCGGTCACAAGTCCCACCATTCTGACACTGGCACTGGAGTCGGCAGTCTGCCCCAAAATGACCAGGGGCACAGGCTGGGAATAGAGGAGGTATGATTAGAGAGGCACGGGGCAGCAGGCAATGAGGGCACAGATGAGGCGCAGGTTATACAACAGGGTGAGGGTAGAGGGCCTGGTCAGGTGACCGGGGGGGATTGGTAAGTTAGGGGCAGAGTGAAGGGTCCAGGTCATGCTTGTGGCCACCTGTCTTGGTCAGGGACCATGAGGGTGGGTTAAGCATACCTTCCTGGCACTGGCTTCCTCTCCAGCCAGACCCACAAGAGCAGCCATAGGGATCTGGCAGGCAGAAGGTGAGGCCCCGGCAACCTGATATGCCTGGGCACTGCTCCTGGCAGCTCTGCCCAAAACGGCCCTCTCTGCAGGCTAGAAAGAGAATGTGTGGGTGTATTAGCCTCTGTGGGCCCCTGGGCTTAGGACCTGCCTGTCACCCTCACCCTCCAAGCTCCATCCACATAATTCTAGGGTCTTCTCCCAGTCAGAGATCCTCTCCTGCCAGGGTCCAAGCTCCCCTCCTCCTTACCCTGTTCACAGCGGGTGCCAGTGAAGCCAGGGGGGCATACACAATCACCATCATGGTCATGGCAGACACCTCCATGTAGGCAGCTTGGGCACTCCTTGGTACAGCTTGGTCCCCAGTGCCCAGCCCCACAATCTGGAGGAAGGGTGTCTTCAGCAGCTGACCCTTACCCACCAGACCACTGCTGCTGAGGACTGGAGACCCAGGGGCTTCAGGGGACCCACAAGAAGTACCCATAGGGCTCCCAGCCTCCCACCCTACCCACAACCTCTGCCCTCTGCTTCTGACCCCGCACGATGAGCCGAAAGAAGGCGCTGCCCAGGGGGCTGGCATCCAGGTAGGTGGCACTGTAGATGCCGCTTGATGGTGGCTGCACGTTTGGGAATGGCAGCAGGAACCGCCCATCCTCGGCCTCTTGCCAGTCCAGGGTGTTGAAGTAGGATCCTGGGGGGCATGAATGGGTCAGGGGCCTCAGCACTACATGAGGGTTGTCACCTCTCTCTGCCCACCTCTGCCTGGGTTGCATCAATGGGCCCCATGCCTACACCCAAGCCAGAAAGCTCAGAAGCACCCTCTTCTTCATGCTCCACCAACTACCCGGTAAATCACCAAGGAGGTGCTCAGTCCACCTCCTCCTCATCCCCTAATTCAGTCTGCTTCTCCCCACACCCACTGCCACCGCCCTGGTCCTGGCCTCCAGGGCCTCACAAGCAGGCTGTCTGCCTCCAGTCTCACCCTTTCTTGTCCCTCCTCCACCCAGCAGCCAGGGTGATTTTTCACAACAGACTCCTCTGTGACTCCCCTGCTGAAGCTCTCCTAGTTCTCCAGTGACCTCAGGACAAAATCCAGCTCCTTAGACATCATTTTCACCAATTTGGCCGTGGCTAAGCCATCCAGCCCCATCCCTCTTCACTGCCTGCCTGACTCCTAACATTCCTGAATTCCTGAATTGATTGCTTCTCTTCCAGAAACACCCTTGTGTTTCAGACCCTCTTGCTCTTCTCAGTCCCTCCTCCTGGAATGCCCTTCCTTCTTTTGTCTGCCTTCTTTGTCTTCCCACTTCTCCTCTGAGCACAATTCGAGTGCCATCTACTCTGGGGTCTCTTCCCTGAGCCTCTCCCTCCTAGAAGAGTGTCCCAGGCCCTGCCCCGCCTGCTTCTTGCCTCTTTGTTCTGGGCTGAACAGAGACCCTAGAGACCCAGGTCTGCCTGTGCCTCTTCACCTCTCCTGTCAATTCCGGGGGTCCAGAGCTCAGGAGGCAGCCCCCTTGGCCAAAGGGAAGGGTCTTCCTCCCTCAGGAGCCCAGGGATGCAAGAGTCAGTCCAGGGGTTGTGGATCTGAGGACTGAGGCAGGAATCTGTGGGGCCACATAGAAAAACGGCTTCCTCCTATAGGATGGCCAAGGGGTCAGTGTGGAGGATGCCTGGGGCTGAGGTCTCACAGATCTACCCAGGCCTCAGCATGAGGCTGTCTTGGACATCAAAGATCTAGGCTGGACTCTTTGGGAGAGGCTAGACTCTGCCCTGCCTGTGCTGGGCATGATGTTACCAGTTCTCTTCTTCCTCAGGGGCTGCTGCTCTCCACCAGGTGGGCTATGTGACAGCACCTGCTAACTCCCAGGGGAGAGTGAAGGATGAGGGTGTAACATCATGCTCATTTGGGGCTAAGAGGGAAGGGGCAGCTGACCACAGGCTCCTGGGCCTCTGAGTACAGCAGGAGGGCAGCTTAGAGATCCAGATTAGATGGGTTCAGGTGCATCCCACCGGACCTAGTCCACCACAGAGGAGGGGCCCTGGAGGTCGCGTGTGTCAGGGACCAAAGCCAAGGGCCCCACGGGTGATGAAAGTGTTAGAGCCTCAGAACTATGGGTCTACCTGCCCCACCAGTTCAAATGTCCCTCTCACCGTTGCTCTTCCAGATCACGTCTGTCTGCTTGTGCTTGTGTATACGTGCAGAAAGTACAGCCGTGTCGCCTTTGTTCACAGTGTGCGTGACCTTGTCTGGAAGCAGGTGGGCTGTGGGGTGGAGGGTGGGTCAGCAGCCTGGTTTCCCCTGCGCCATTCTCCACCCGCCCTGCTCCCCAGACTCACCTCCAAAGCTGTTGTGCACGTAGATGACACGCGAGCGCCGAGCCCCGGCACCGCCCACGCAGGAGAAGACGCCCACGAGGTCTGCGGGCCTAGAGAAGCCGCGCATGGTGACCTGGTGCGAGCCGTTGCGCACCAAGCGCAGGGGCGGCCCGGGCGGGGCGCGCACGATGCGGTCGTCCTTCTCAAGCAGCAGGGGCGGCCCCCAGGCCTCTGAGCCCCTCTCCGTCCCGGCCTCCCCCGACACGCAGGTCAGGAAGAAGCGCTGGGGGTCCGTGAGTCTCACGTTGGCCAGCAGCGTCAGGTCCACCGCCGCGCCTGGGGCCAGGACACCAGTGACTCTATTGTAGTCCCAGCCATCGCTTCTCGGCCTTTTGGCTAAGATCAAGTGTAGTCCCAGCCAACGCTGGTGCCCCAGAGCCCCAGCCCTCTGGTCTTACTAATCCACTGTCCACTCTGAAGAGGGTCTCCCACCTTCCCCCCTCTTCCTTCCCCTGCCCGGGCCCTCAGACCCCACAGGCGCTTCGCTTTATCAGGCATTCCCATCCCCCTCCTTTCCCTTCCTTGCGCACTGGCCTTTTTCCCTCAAGTCTCCTCATTCTAAAAGAAGAAAAACAAAACCACAAATCCTTCTCTGGCTGTGTTCCCTCCCTTCTCCTGCCAGATGGCTTCCCTTTCGCCCCAGCTTTCAGAAAGAATGATCTGTGCTCCCTGTCTCCGTTTCCTTTATTTTCTATCAGTCACGTTTCCCCACTCGTCTCTGAAACTGCCCTGCGAAGGTCGCTGTGAGCCACTTCTCCCTGCCCCCACCACGAGAGTGCAGGCCAGGAGAGCCAGCCAGAACAGAAGTGTCCCATGGGTCCCCCCTTTGTCACTAATGGAGATCTAGAAAGGTCTGGTGGGCTGGGATTTGAGATGGGAGAGGCTGAGTTTTGCAGCCAGAAGGATGTGGCACAGAAATGGAGCTAAGGCCAGGTGCGGTGGCTCACGCCTGGAATCCCAGCACTTAAGGAGGCAGAGGCAGGTGGATCGCTTGAGAACAGGAGTTTGAGACGAGCCTGGGCAATGTAGCAAGACCCTGTTCTCCAGAAAAAAGAAAAACAAAGAGAAATGGAGCTAAGCTTTGGGCAGGGCCCAGATCCAGGAAGTGTAGTGCCAGGGCAGGCCTGGGGCTCAGACAGACACAGACACAAGGTGGGTCTTTGTCTTTGTTTGCTTTCCAAAGAGCTCATGCCCTAGTTGGGGGAACAGGTATGGACACAGCTGCTAAATGTAGGGTGCTGTGCTTTTGAGCACCGAGAAGGGCCCCTGATCCAGCCTGGGTAGGGGGGTGCAGGAAGATGAAGAGATGCTTCCTGGGAGGTGAAGTTGGAGCAGGACACACTGGCATGGGCAATGGGGAGGGGGAGAAGTCAGGGACAGGGAGAGGGCATCCTAGACAGAGGGAACAGCCTGGGCAAAGGCCTGCAGTGGCAATATTATGGCAGGTGGAGGGGGTTGTCCAGGCTTGTGTGGCTGAAGCACAAGATGTAAGGCTGAGGCAGGAGAGACCAGGTGGAGTCAGAGTCCAGGCTGGACGGTGGAGAGCCTGCGAGCCCGCCTCAGCTCGAGGACTTGGCAGCCCTCCGCCAGCCCTTCCTTCTCTGTCTCTGCCAGCTGACTGTCAAGCAGTTAACTAGTATAAATGCCACCTAGCTTATCAGTTAATATTGTTTGAAAGGCTACCATGAGCAGATGAAGCTGGCATTTACCTACCACATACCAAGACCCCATTTTCCACTGATCCTCACAACCAGCGAAGTGCATATTCTTTCCATTTACAGAGGAGGGTCATGGTCATTAATTCTACCGGCTTCCTGGAGCATGCTCATCCACTCCCTTGGCTTTAACCATCACCTCTGAGTCAATAACTCAGGAACGGTCTTTCAGCTTGGACCTGCATTTCCATCAGCTTTTGCCAAACCTGCTCCTCTCCGGTGCTCCCTGACTCACTGGATAGCACTCGCCACCTGAGACACAAACTCCCACTGTCATGATAATTAATGTTTATTGGCTGCCAGTTATGCACCAGGCACTTTACTGGTGTTGTCTCATTTTACCATCCCAGCGACTCTGGGAGGTGGATGTTATCCCTGTTTTATAGCCAGGAAAGGGAGGCTCAGAGAAGTTAAGTAACTGGCCCAAGGTCATATAATTAGTAACTGGCAGGGCCAGGTTGTCTGATACTAAAGTCCACACCTCTGAGCATTGTGCTGGCTGCCCCATCAGTCACAGGATTCTGCACATCGTTTCCTGAACGCTTCTTGACTTCATCCCCACCCCACAAGCCTGCCTTTGTTTGGCCCTCATCCTTACTCACTGTTGGTATGTGGACCATACCAACAGCCACACCCACTTTCTGCAACTCATCCTCGGCAGTGATCTAAGACCAAATCTGACCTTGTGATTTTTTTGCCTATGACCTCCCATGGCTCCCTATTGCCCTCAGGATCATGTCCATGCTCCTGAGCCCTGTGCTGCTCCCATGCTGTCCCTCCCTGTGTTCCCAACAGGCCCCTTCTCACCCATGCACCTCCATGCCTCTGAGACTTGCATTTTTTATGTTCCGGCTGCCTGGAATGAAGACCACCCCTCTTAGTGAAATCTTCCCTGACTCCCTTTTTGTCTCCTACCCGAGACAGTGAAAGCTGACTCCTCCTCAGTGCTCCTCTAGGGCTCCTGTGTCTGTCCCTGTTTAGCCCTCTTCCCCTGTCCTGTGTTCTGTGCTAGACCTTGAACCACTCAAAGGCAGCCTCTGTGTTCCAATCTTTGGACCAGCAGACTGAAGGAATCAGCTGCCACTTATTTAGAAACCCTTACCAAGTGCAGGGCACTAAGCCAACGGCTCTGCATCATTTTCTCATTTAAACCCCATAACAACCATAGGAGGCTGGCAGCCTTTAATCTCTGTACAGACCTGGGGGTTGCCAGCCTCTCAACTAATGGCCCAGCACTTAGCACAAGTCCTGGAATGTTGTTGGTACTCAATAAATGTTTGTCCAGTGAATAATTGAATGAATCCAACACAATGACCGCAGGAACACCCCCTGAAAACTGTCCGCCACGGATCCTCAGACCCAACACATGGCTGCTCCTCACTCCTCCCCTGATCCCAGGCTGCAGTGATTTCTGGCACTTGCCTGGGTTTTCCAGGTCTTGATCTCACTTTCTAGTGGATCAGAGTGATGGCAGTGATGATAGGGTTTGTTTTCCAAATTTTTTTTATTGTGGTGAAATACGTAGAACATAAATGTTACCATCTGAACCATTTGTAAGCAGCATATAACCCAGTGTGATTAAACACATTCCTAATGTTGTCCCACCATCACCACCATCCATTCTTTTTTTTTTGATTGATAAAGAAAAAAAAGTTAAACAAAACAGAGATGGAAGGGGGCCTCACTATGTTGACCAGTCTGGTCTTGAACTCCTGGCCTCAAGTGATCCTCCCATCTCGGCCTCCCAAAGTTCTGGGATTATAGGTATGAGCCACCGCACCCTGCCCCGTCTTTGTATCTCTTTTAATCTTGTAAAACAGAGTAAAAATCTTACAGAAACTCTGTACCTTTTAAACCAAACTCCCCATTTCGTCCTCCCCACTGCCCACAGCAACCGCCATTCTACTTTCTGTCTCTATGATATAATAGGGTTTCTTAGGCGGAAATCAGGGCCTTAGGGCTTAGAAATGGGGTGAGGGACTCAGGGAAGACTTACCCACATGAGAAGCCAAGAAGAGGATGGGGAGCAGGAAAGGGGGCACCCGAAAGACCATACTCCAGGGGCTGACCCAGGCCAGCCAGGACGAGCTGGGCCTGGGGTCAGATGCTGTGGGCCTCACTGCTCAGCCTGTGCTGGTCAGTGTGGGACGGTGCTGGGCAGGAAGAGGAAATGAGGTGGCTTGGGTGGGAGGGGTGACGGGGAAGAGGGGGTGGGAGGATTTATTCTGCCTTTGAGCCTCCAGGCCCCCCAGTCTGGCCCCCACAAGGCTGGGGATTGGAGTCACTTGAGGTGGGGGGAGGGTTATGGTAAGGGCAGACCTGGGGACAGTGGATTGTTTTTTTCCATCCCCTGTCTCCCTCCAATCCTCAGTCTTGCTGGCACACAGGAGGCAGGAGTCAGGAAAAGGAGGAAGCCAGTGGCTTCCGCCTATTGAGGAGGGGAGTGGGGTGGGGAACATTGTTCTAGGGTCTCCCCTCCCCCCAGCACAAACACAAATAGGGCCCACGTGAGTCCTTATGTATGTGCCCCAGGACACAGACAGTTAAATGGGTTTCCTAGACAGCAGTTCACCTACGAAACACAAAGGACCTTTGTGGGCCTGAGAACACAGACACTCAAAGGAACACCGGGCTCCGGCAGCAAAGAGGCTTCGAGTCTATCTTGTGTACCTCTCTCATTTTACAGATGGGAAGACTGAGGCCTGCTGTGCTTGAGGGCACCCTGAGGCCATGGCAAGGCTGGGACTTGAACTTCTTGCTGCTTTCTTGGTGCTGATCACTCCACAGGGCACACATTAGGCAGACCCAGGGAAACACACAGGGAATGTCAGTTGTGTGGCTAGTCCTCAGTGTAAGCTGCTAATGAAAGCTTCAGCTTAGTGTCGGCCAGGTGTCATTCATTTTGCAGCAAACCCATGTCTATCCCTGGGCACTGGGGCAGCAGAAGTCTGCCCAGGGAGGTGCACTCACTCTTGACAGCTGACAACAACCTGGGAGCAGTCCTGCTGCCTTGGCAAAGCCTCTAAAGCCCCATGGATCTTGCCTCTGCTTCCCTTCCAGACTCACCTCTCCCTGCCCTGGCACCCATTGTTCCACCTCTTGCCACCACTGGCAGTTCCCAGAAGAGAACAAGACCTGTAGGTACAGAATGCCCACGAGGAGGCCCTTCCAGGGAGCAGAGGGAGGGGTCATCAGATGGGCAGGCTCGCTGGTTAAATCTATGGCCCCTCCTACCCAGAATGGAATGGTTGGGATGGATGAGACCTGGTGTCAGCTTAGGTGACTTAGGTCTGGAAGTCCAAACCCTCCCCTGGGCCTGGAACATCTTCCCAGAGTCTGTTCTGGGTGAAGGCTTCATTCTCCTCTAGATGCACTGGGCTCACGTTCACCTTTCTGAGGAGGCTGGGTCCCTGCAGCTTGGTTGAGCTGGTGTAGGCCCAGGGCTCTTCTGAAGCTCCCTGAAAAGTCCCAGGAGAGGCTTTGACTCCTGGAGTAGCATAAAAGAGGATCAGGAAAGACCTCCCCACTGATTTGTGGCCCACAGAGAATCCCATGGCTGGGCCTGAGGCTGGGAAGAGCTTTCTCTGGACAAGGCTTTGGGTGGGATGGGAGTAGGAGCAGGGGCAGTGGTCGATGCCTTAGACTTCAGCTCATCTTGGTGTCAGACCTTTAAATCTGGAACGAAAAAGGAGCTGGAACATGCTGGGACTGTTTGTGTGGCAGGATTCACTTTTGTGGAACTTTTTCTTTGGTTCTTGGAAGACCTGGGGGGCCTGATGTCATTTTGCAAATATATGGAGAGCACTTAGGCAGCATTCGGAGAGCACTTAGGCAGCATTCGTTCTTCTTGAAAGTGACAGGTATTTGCTTTGAATGGAAAAATTTGAGACTGCGGGATGCTGGCAAATGCAAAGACTCGGAGCCCATCTACCCTCCCCACTCTCTCTCTTTTTTTTTTTTTAAGATGGGGTTTCACCATGATGGCCAGGCTGGTCTTGAACTCCTGACCTCAGTTGATCCACCCACCTCGGCCTCCCAAAGTCCTAGGACTACAGGCGTGAGCCACCGTGCCCGGCCATGCCCTCCCCACTCTCAACTGGGAAACAAAAACTGGTAATAATGATCTGTATATAAATAAAATGTTAATGGAGTTTGTACACAAGAATTTGTGTTATAAAACAATATCCTACAAGTGTAAAGTGTTTTTACATGTGTTGAGATTACATTGCAAATAATTTAAATAGCATTAGTTTACAAACAATGTGTCCCAAATGAAATATTACTGCACAAATTTTGAGTGGGTTGTGTATACATATGCTGTTGCAGATGTATAAGAAGATTTAAGCTATAATGCACATCTTGAAGTCTCAGTCACTGGAAAGTTACAGGCCAAAAATAATGCAAATATGAAGTTCTACACACTGGAGGGTTAACCTCCAAACCCAAAACAAACTCAATTGATAATGATTGAGTTAAACTCAAGGTAATTTATTTTTAATAGCTGGACGCAGTGGCTCACGCCTGTAATCCCAAGCTCTTTGGGAGGCCGAGGCAGGCAGATCATTTGAGGCCAAGAGTTCGAGACCAGCCTGGCTAACATGATGAAACCCCATCTCTAACAAAAATACAAAAATTAGCCAAGTGTGACGGCACATGCCTGTAAATCTTAGCTACTTGGGAGGCTGAGGCAGGAGAGTCTCTTGAACCTGGGAGGGAGAATCTCTTTAATCTGGGAGGTGGAGGTTGCCGTGAGCCGAGATCACGTCACTGCACTCCAGCCTGGGCGACAGAGCTCACAGCTTGATTTTTATTTTATCTCAAAAATTAAAATTAAAAAACTTGTCCTCGTTACCATTCTTACCTGTTGGTTTTATAACACATTGGGAATTTTATAATACACTGTCTTGGCAAGGTTGTGGGGAAATAGGCATGCTCTATGTTGCTGTAACTCTGATGGAGGGCAGCTTGGGAATATCTGTCAAATTCAGAAACACATTTATCCTTGACTCGCAATTGCATTCTTGGGAATTTATCCTGCAGATATACTCCCACGGTACAAAATGTCATGGTTATCCATTGTAGCATTATATGTAATGGCACAGGATTAGGAACAATTCATGTGTCAGTCAGCGGGGAAATGGTTAAATCAATTTTGATGTAGCTATACAGTAAAATATAACAGCTGTGAAATTAGTTGAAGAAACTTTCAAAGTCTATGTACTGGTTTTTAAAAGCTCTCCAAGACATACTAATTAGTAAGTGACAAAAACAAGGTACAGAAGTAGATATTGTATGTTAGTTTTTGCCTAAGAAAGAAAAAAAATATAGGAATACACATTCATACTGCTTGTACAGGTTGAGTATCCCTTATTCAAAATACTAGGGACAAGAAGTGTTCAGATTTCAGATTTTTCTGAATTTTGGAATATTTGCATATACATAATGAAATATCTTGGGGATAAGACCCAAGTCTAAACATGAAATTCATTTATGTTTCCTGCATACCTTATACACATAGCCTGAAGTATTTCAAATTTTAAACAGTATTTTATATGATATAGATGACCCACCACATGAGGTCGGGTGTGGATTTCCCACTTGTGGCATCACATAGTGCTCAAAAAGGTTCAAATTTGGGAGCATTTCAGATTTCAGATTTTTGGCTTGGGGCGCTCAACCTGTATCTGCACAGGGTGAATGTCTGCTGTGGTATTAAGTTCCACTTTGGAGGGAGTGCTCATTCCGAAACCAGTTATTTTTTTGACTTTTGTCTTTTATGTTAGGAAAGTAAAGTCTTATCCCACGTGGCCACCC